TTATGTTTTCTTTTTTAACAAACACGTGACTTTTCCGAAAGGTCACAGAAATTTTTTAAAAGCATGCTAACTCAATACATTCTTCAATAACTTAAAATATTCATTATTTTGATGCCCGCTTTAGTTGTTCAAACAGTGACCCTTCTTTCAATAATAATAACCATGTTTCCTTTGATGTTGCGGTGGAAGAAACAGCCAGTAACAAAACAATCCAATGTTAAAATCTCAGAAATGCAAAGTGCAGACTTCACTAAGGTTCTGCCCTGAAATAGTGTACTGAAGATGGCTATGCAAAATGTTGCTTTCGTGCCTGTGGTACGAAACCTTCTTAGTGTAGCAACACTGCCACCTAGAGGCCTTCTGGCATAAATTTGACGCTGACATCAAACTCTTCTAGAGAGACTACACACAGATTTTAATCCATCATTTCAGTCACCCTTAAGACCATAGTGTGTGATGTGACACACAGATTTTAATCCATCATTTCAGTCACCCTTAAGACCATAGTGTGTGATGTGACACACAGATTTTAATCCATCATTTCAGTCACCCTTAAGACCATAGTGTGTGATGTGAACAAAATGCACAGCTCGTGCTTTTTACCAATAATTCCACTGTTAGGAAATAATTCAGAACTGAAATCCTGGCAGAACACAAGCAATGTGAATCCGGAAGCCTGGATGGAGAACCTAGGGGTACCCTCTGAGTCTCAGTAACAACTTGTCTGAGAATTGGCTCATGGATGTGAGGCAACTGGTCAGGGCCTGGGCATAGCTGAGAAACTCAATCAAGGTAAACCAAGATGCTTTGGTTTCCAGTTTTTGTAAAAGTAAAGTCAGTCGTGCTTTGTCTTAATATTATCATTGTTGTTGTTGTTGTTAAGTGCCATCGAGTCGGGTCCGACCCATAGCGACCCTGTACAGGGTTTCCGAGGGTGTAAATCTTTACGGGAGTAGAAAGCCTCATCTTTCTCCCGCGGAGCGGCTGGTAGTTTCGAACCGCTGACCCTAAGGTTCGCAGCCCGATTCGTAACCACTACGCTACCAGAGCTCCTTTATCATATATCCTAGCATATGCTAGCTCTGGTAGCATAGTGATTATGAATCGGACTGCTAACCTCAAGGTCAGCAGTTTGAAATTACCAGCTGTTCTCCCACAGGGAAGAAAGATGAGGCTTTCTGCTCCTGTAAATAGTTACAGCCTCGGAAACCCAATACAGGGTGGCTATGAGTTGGAACCGACTCCATAACACACAACCACCACCAGCAGCAGCATATTTTCTACAAGTGTTTTTAAGAAAAATAATTTGGTGTGTGTGTGTATATACGTATATACTGCTCATCCTAGGTCACTTTATTTTAGCTACCTTGCAGAGATAAAAGTATTAACTTCATCTCAGTTACAGTCATTTGGCTGTTTTATTCTTTGAGATTTATAGATCCTGATCCCTTATCCAAAATATTTAGGGATAGATATGTTTCAGAACTCAGAATTTCCTGGATTTTAGAAAAGTACGTTAGTAATATCATATAACAAGCCCTATCAGTATTGAGATTGGTGCTAAACAGAATACTCACACAAAGTGGAATAAATGAAAATTCTTATATTATAATATACTATAAATATTCACACAAAATAGAATAAATAAAAGCCTTACATCTGTTCAGTTCAGATTTTGTTGCTAAAATAAGTTTAGATCAGGCTTTGCAAATAAATGACTTCCAAAATCCAAGCAAAATGAACAAACAACAATAAATGATCAACAACAAATTTTTGTTGATAAAGAATTACAGTCTAAATTCTAGTTAAGCAATAGAAATACCTCATGGATCCAATATCATCCAAGAATAACTTCCAATCTGTTGAATTTCCCAGATTCATTTCGTTTATTTCTTTAAACATTTTAAGTTTTCTTTTGAACAAATTGCAATCTTTCTAAAATATCTCTTACAAATCCTTGAGAGAAAATGCAAATAATTTTTTCTGGGTGATTTATACACCATGAATACTGTATGGTAAGACAGCAATGCCCACAAGTCTTGTTAAAGTTAGCAATACTTGCCCCCAGTTAAATGGTTTCGGCTATATTTTTGTGAGTTCTTCTTTCTCCATTTTATGGTTTTTATATACCCTCCTCAGCTGTGAGACTCACCTCTTACTTCTTCTTAACTTATAATAATGAATAAAGGCACAAAGACAGATAGCAAGTATCTTAACTATTTGCTCTATGAATTAAAAATGAGATTGTCATATAAAGATCCAATAAGACCTAGGTAAAAAATAAGACTGTAAGCATGATTTTGAAAGTATATATGTAAATGCTTTTTCCTTGAATTAGGACTCAAACTACAGTCTTCCTTTGATTTATACAGATTCATGCTGTCCCCATGGAATCCTTTAATGTTGCCAGATGTCGTCATGGCAGCTCATTCTTCATTGCCTTCATTGCACAGGGTTTTACCTCTATCTGAAATGTTATATCCTTCCTTCTAAATTTAGCAAATTCCCAGTCATCCCGCAGAGCTCAGTGCAAGCTTCTTCCCCTCCAGGAAGTAGCTTCTGACGTCCTCCACTCCAGATCAGGGCTAGCTGTGCCTCCCAGTATGTAACCGTTCCATTTCATTTTATTGTTCTGCCTTGCCGTCTTCCGGGACTCTTCTCATCAAGGAGGAGTTTAGGGTGTCTACTGTGTGGTGCTATAGGATAAGCACTGGACAGAGCACCACAAGGCTGTTCTGCTTTCCCGTCTTCCGGGACTCTTCTCATCAAGGAGGAGTTTAGGGTGTCTACTGTGACTTTTTGTCCCCACAATCTATTACAATCTATTACACATTAAGTGCTTGCTAATTGTTGTCATTAAAAGGATGAAAGAATGTGAGAAAATAAATTGAAAACTATTTTTTTTTAACTGCCAAAAATAAGACTCCAAAATAGCAAATTCTTGGATTTGCTTCACTTATGCCATACCTGCCATACCTTTTCTTACACCAAACAACTGACAAACTGCCCTGAGTCTGTCTCTACTTATTGGTTCAAATAAGCACAGAGGGACTGATTCTGCTTGGACTTTCAGGATAGATTCCCTATGAGGTCTTTGAGCCCAATCTTACTAGATGGATGAGCAAAACCATAGTTTGCATGCAGAGTTGTTGTTGTTAAATCCCACTGAGTCAATTTCAACTCATCTCGACCCTGTGGGGTTTCTGAGGAGCAGCAGGTGGGCTTGAGTCACCAACCTTGTGGTTCTCTGTCCTGTGCTTATCCTATAGCACCACACCAGTAGTCTAAGCATAGGAGCAATTAAGGATGTAGCACTAAGTAGTTAATCAGATCTGTGCTTTGGAAATAATCTTCTGGGGGCAGTTGGAGGATGGAGAGAAGAGGAACTGGAGTTGGGAGGGCCAGCTGGTGGCTGATGCAATCATCCAATGAGAAATGCAATGAAAAGAAATGGATTGGAGAAGGATTTTGGTTGGAGAAAGAGTTGGTAAAATCTAATTATTATTAGAACTGGGGGACAGACACTTGCGTTTTAGAGGGGAAAAAAATATTTTATCTAGTTATTGTGGATGTTAGGAAATTCAAATGTTGACTTAAAAGTTTCCAGTATATTCTTTCTATGTTGTTGTTGTTGTTATGTGCCGTGGACTCGGTTCTGACTCATAGCGACCCTGTACAGGGTTTCCGAGGCTGTAAATCTTTACGGGAGCAGAAAACCTTATCTTTCTCCCGTGGAACAGCTGGTAGTTTCGAACTGCTGACCCTGAGGTTCGCAGCCCAATTCGTAACCACTACGCTACCAGAGCTCCTTTCTATATTCTTCTTTAAAGGGATCTCTCTAGGTCTTTCTATGTTTCGTTGAAAATATACACAATGGAAGCTGGAATAAGGAAAAGTTATGGCTGTGAAGGAGAAAAAAAAGAAACATGTTTCATCTGAATTATAAAAATGTTAAAGCACTCACAAACAATGGAATTATTAAAATGTTTCTCAATAGGACTTTACCCATATAGACGTTGATGTGGCTAAGTGCCATCGAGTCATAGCGACCCTGTCTAGGGTTTCCAAGAAGTAGCTGGTGAGTTTGAATTGCCAACCCTAAGGTTCAAACCGACCTTGAGGTCCAGTGCTTTATCCCACAGTGCCACACCAGGACTCCTGTAAAGACGTATACGTAGCCTTTTTGTGATTTAGGGATAGTAAGCATTGGACTGTTAATCGCAAAGTCAGTGGTTCAAACCCCACCAGTCATTCCTTGGGAATCCTATATAAAGTTGCTATACTCAATGGTCTTTAACTATACTAAACTACACATAAGGTTGTTGTAGTTAAGTGCCATCCAATTGGTTCCGACTCATAGCGACCCTGTATAGGGTTTCCAAGGAGCGGCTGGTGAATTTGAATCGCCAACCTTGCAGTTCAAACAGACCTTATAGTCCAATGCATTATCCCACAGTGCCACACAAGGACACTGGTGGTTATGTGTCTTGGAGTCGGTTTTGACTGATAGCGACCCTGTATGGAGTTTCCGAGACTATAAATCTTTACCAGAGTAGAAAGCCTCATCTTTCTCCTGCTGAACTGCTGGTAGTTTTGAACTGCAGACCTTGAGGTTAGCAGCACGAATAGTAACCACTAATACATAAGGTGGTTACAGAAAAGGGAAGGTAGGTGTTCTGTGTGCAGTCAAGTCGATTCCGACTCATAGAAACCCTCTATGACTGAGAAAAACTGCCCCCTAGGGTCTCGTAGGCTTTACTGGAGCAAATTGCCAGATGTTGTCTACCTGGGAACCAAAGGCGAGTTTCAGTGGGTGACTTTTCAGTTAACAGCTGAATACATAACCACTGTGCAAGCAGGGCTCCTGAAACTCAACACTTAAGTCTAGTTGCAAAATCACTGGTTTATCTGAGGTTTGTATAGGCTGAAAAGTGGGCATTTCATGTGTGCTTTCAGTTGGATAACAATAAAATCTAAACGTGGACTTTCCATTCATGCAGGTGCGGGTGTTCATCAACCAGTTATATCAGCCGCGTTTGGAGGAAGAAATCAGCAAAAACCCCGATTTGCAGGCCATCCGAATTGCGTCTGTGAACCCCATCCTGGACCCCTGGATATACATTCTTCTGCGGAAGACAGTGCTGAGTAAAGTGGTGGAGAAGATCAAATGCCTCTTCTGCCGCATTGGTGGGGCCCGCAGAGACCGCTCCAGCCAGCACTGTTCAGATAGCCGAAGGGCATCGTCTGCTATGTCCGGCCACTCACGCTCCTTCATCTCCTGGGAGCTGAAGGAGATCAGCAGCACATCTCAGACCCTCCTTTACCTCCCGGAACTAAGTGAAAACGGCCTTGGAGGTGGGAATTTGCTTCCAGGGGTACCTGGCATGGGCCTAGCCCCAACAGACACCACCTCACTGAGGACTTTGCGAATATCAGAGACTTCGGACTCCTCACATGGGCAGGACTCGGAGAGCGTCTTGCTGGTGGATGAGGTTGGTAGGAGCAACAGGGCTGGGCCTGCCCCTAAGGGGAATTCCCTGCAAGTCACGTTTCCCAGTGAAACATTGAATTTATCAGAAAAGTGTATATAGTAGGTAAGGAAAAAAATACAGCACTGTTTTTGGAACCTTAAAAACCCGTGCAATAGACATATACAAGAAGCATTTATCTGTGCTCAGAAGGGCTCCTTTCATCCTACAAGTCACAAGAGAGAACATCCTAGCTTTTGAGCACTTTTCAGACTAACAAGTGGATTCACATGTGTCCCAAGGACTGCAGCACATTGGCTGCCACACGTGTGTGATACAGGATTGCTGTCACAAGCCAGCAACTGAGAGGATCAACCCTCAGTTATTCTACAAGATGGGAGAATGGCAGAAATTTTGCTATTTTCATGACATCAGGAGCTTTATATCTGGCACACAACAGAGGTCCAGGTATTCCAAGGGCTCAATTCCAATTAACTACGAGGACTACCTTAGGGATGATTTAAATGTCTCACTAAAGGAGCTCTGGTAGCGTAGTGGTTACGAATCAGGCTGCGAACCTTAAGGTCAGCAGTTCGAAACTACCAGCCACTCCGCGGGAGAAAGATGAGGCTTTCTACTCCCGTAAAGATTTACACCCTCGGAAACCCTGTACAGGGTCGCTATGGGTCGGAACCGACTCGATGGCACTTAACAACAACAAAGCATGAAAATGTGAATTTTTAATGTTGTAAATATGATTTGAAGTATTTAAAGTATTTTCTTCTCTATGAGAAGGTTTATTGTTAATACAAGGTATAATAAAATATGGTAACCCCTCTCCTCCCAGTATAACCAGCTGAAGTTGCAGATGTTAGATATTTTTTTCATAAGCAAGTTCAGGCCAAGGTGTTGAGATTAATATTCAGTGAGATTTATATCTATAAAATAGATATGATTTTTAAAAAGAGTTTCTATCAGAGGCATAAAGAACTATCAAAGGCATAAAGAAAAAAAATGTTTAAAACATGAAAAATATATTCTAAAATATTAAAATCCTTTCCAAGCTATGTATCATACATAATGAAAAGTTTTTAGTGAAGTTACATTTGTCCGGAAAACTGTGATTTCAGGTGAATGTATCATGCTGGTCAGTAATTTCTAGTTTTGTCCCACTAACTGGTACTTTCAAAAATGTAACATAAATGAAAAGAGGCTTTAATAAATAACCCACAATTACAGTGTATAATAATAATAAATAACGTCTAAGTAGCTTGTTTCCCCCAAGTATGCAAAAGTGTGCATAGTTTCCCTTCCTAAGGAATGACCTAGAAATAAATAGACTTTGAAGTGTAAGTAGTAGGCAAGTTGTGCTATGATGTACTTTATTTTGAAATGTGAGTGGAATGGTTAAAGTGACCCTTCACATGTGTCATAAGTGTAACAAAAAGGGTGCAGAACTTGGGCACTCAAGAGTTACCTTTAACAATTTCTTGTGATACCCAGTCAAGTACACATTTTTGAAGGACCTTTGTCAAAGAAATATTAAGCATGTTTTTATTGCTTCAAGTGTTTTATGTGAATTGTCTGATTGGTTGTAATGAATTTCTGAGCCTGATAATGATATGGTTTTATGAAGCAGTTGTACCAACTGAAATTATTTTGGAGATTATAATAAATAAATACACTCAATCTGAGTTCCTATCTTCTGTGTTGGAAAACTTGTCTGATTTTTGTTTGTTTCAGGTCATTTCTGTACCCTTTTAAATTGGATTTTTTATTTAAACACTTTTCATTTTTAAATAATTTCAAATTTAGAGAAAAGTTACAAGAATAATATAAAGACCTTACTGCACTAAGTGAAGTATGATGTTTAGAAACCTCTAGCTCTGTGTGCTTGTTAGTAGTAGGTGTTAGTTTTGAACCCTTCAGTCAAATTTTGCAATTTAGGTTACATTACCACTTGTGTCTTAGCATTCTCTTTTCTATCTTTGGCATTGGTTAGCATGGTGAAATAGAACATTTTAGAAGCTTGAGCCAGATGCTCCTTTTCTGCCACCTGTCCCTCAAGTGATAATCATTGTGTCATTCTGTTGTTGCTGCTAAGTGCTGTCCAGTTGGTTTCCACTGATTTCTACTCCGTATAGGATTTCTGAGGGTTTGCAGCACCAGCTTTGTGGTTAGCCAGTGCTTCTCCTACAGAGCCACGCCAGGTCTCTGATATTAGATCTGTGTTGTTGTTGCCGTTAAGTGCCATTTGACTCAGCAACCTTGTATAAGGTTTCCAATGATGGCTGGTGGGTTTGAGCTGCCGACCTTGTGGTTAGCAGTCTATGGTTTATCCTACAGGGCCACACCAGTATTCAATTAAGTCAGTTGTGAAGTGCTGCCGAGTCGATTCTGACTAATGACTATTAGTTGTTATTATTATGTGCCGTGGAGTCGGGTTCCGACTTATAGCGACCCTGTACAGGGTTTCCGAGGCTGTAAATCTTTATGGGAGCAGAAAGCCTCATCTTTCTCCCGTGGAACCACTGGTAGTTTCGAACTGCTGACCTTGAGGTTGACAGCCCGACTCTTAACCACTATGCTACCAGAGCTCCTTAATGGCTATTAGTAGTAACCCTTTAAAGGGTTTCCAAGGTATAGCTGGTAGGTTTGAACCGCCAACTTTGTGGTTCAGAGTCCAGTGCTGACCCAGCATCGCCATACCAGCTGTTGTTGTTTAGTGCTGTCGAGTCAGTTGCAACCCACAGCAACCCTGTATAGGGTTTTCAAGGATTGGCTGATGGGTTTGAACCCCCGACCTTGCAGTTCAAAATGACCTTGCAGTCCAGTGCATTATCCTGCAGAGCTACAGTCGAAAATCAATGACTGCTGACATTACAAAGAGAGATAGTAAGATATTTGTAATTCCTGGTGCAAGTACTCAAGGGGACTAATTCTTGTCCCCGATAATTGAATAAATATAACCAAACTCCTGGGGTCCTGATGTGGCTGGCATTGGACTGCTAACCAAAAGGTCAGTGGTTCAAACCCATCAGCCATTCTTCAGAAACCTTATACAGGGTTACTATGAGTTAGAGAACCCACTCGGCAGCACTTAACATCTATCAAATCTCTATATCTAAGCACCAATTTACAACAAATACAGGGTGCAGAGGGGCATTAATGACATCAGGAGGATGCAATAAGCAAAATATAAAATATGAAAAATTCTGAAGAAAAAAGTGACCCATAAACAAAACCCGAGGCCATTGAGTAAAATCTTGATGCATAGCAAACATATAGGACAGAGCAGAACTTGCTCATACGGTTTCTAAGGCTGTAATCTTGACGGCCACCACTCATCCATCAGTTTGCCATGCTGTGGTGGTTTGTGTGTTGCCATGATTCTGGAAGCTATAATATCACTATTTTAAATACCAGCAAGTTCATCCATACTGGACAGGTTTCAGATGAGTTACCAGATTCAGACAGACTAGGGAGAAGGAGAGGTGGGTTACTTCTTAATGTGTAGCCACTGAAAACCTTATGAATAGCAGTGGAACACTAGCAGATGGCACCAGAATATTAAATATTGAAACATGGAGAAGAGCACCAGAATATTGTCAGACATAGAGCCAGAAAATGAATTCCTCAGGTTGGAAGGCGCTCAAACTACAACTGGGGAAGAACTGCTTCCTCAAAGTAGAGTTGACCGTGATAATGTGACTGGAGTAAAGGTTTCAGGACCTTCATTTGCTTATGGGGAACAACTCAAAATAAGGAGAAACAACTGTAAAGTCCCATTAATAATCAGAACATGGAATGTACGAAGTATGAATCTAGGAAAACTGGAAGTATTAATCTAGGAAAATATCAAAATATTGATGTTTATGCATTCCATTTCAATTCAAAAATGAAATGGAATGCATAAACACCAATATTTTAGGCAATAGTGAGCTGAAAAGGACGGATATCAGTCATGAATCTGACAACCACATGGTTTACTATGCTGGAAATGGCAAATTGAAGAGGAATGGTGTCGCATTCATCATCGAAAAGAACATTTCAAGATATATCTTAAAGTACAACACTGTAATAGGTTAATATACATATGCCTACAAATAAGATCCGTTAATACAACTATTATTTAAGTTTACACAACAACCACTAAAGTCAGTGATGATGAAATTGAAGAATTCTACCAGCGTCTTCAGTTTAAAATTGATCATGAATGTAATCAAGATGTATTCATAATTACTGTTAATTGGAATATGGAGGTTGGAAGGATCAGGAGTTGGAAAATATGGCCTTGATGAGAGAAATGATACTGGAGATCACATGGCAGAACTTGGCAAGACAATGACTTCTTCATTGAAAATATCCTTTTAAACAACAGACAATTACACACATAGAAATCACCAGATGGAATCCACAGAAATCAAACTGACTACATTAGTGGAAAGAAACCATGGAAAAACTCCATATCATCAGTCAAAATAAGGCCAGGGGAAGACTCTGGAACAAACCATCAATTGCTCATATGCAAGTTTAGACTGAAGCTGAAAAGTTAAAACAAGTCCACAAGAGGTAAAGTACGAACTTGAATATATCCCACCTGAATAAATCATCTGAAGAACAGATTTGCTGAATTAGACATTAATGACTGAAGACCAGAAGAGTTGTGGGATGACATCAAGAACATTATACCAGAAGAAAAAAAAAAGGTCATTAAGACGACAAGAAATTAGAAAAAAAACTAAATGCATGTCAGAAGAGACTCTGAAACTTGGTCTCCAGAGGAAAGATGATAAAGCAAATGGAAGAAATGAGAAGGTAAAAGAGTGGAATAGAAAACTTCAAAAGGCAGATAGAGAAGACAAAGTCAAATATTATAATGAAATGTCCAAAGATCTGGAGTTAGAAAGTGAAAAAGGAAGAACATGCTCAACATTTCTCAAGTTAAGGAAACTGAAGAAAAAATTCAAGCCTTGACTTGAAATTCTGAAGGATTCTATGGGCAAAATATTTAATGATGCACAAAGCATCAAAAGAAGATGGAAAGAATACACAGAAAGGGTTGATGTGTAACCATTTTAAGAGGTAGCATATGATCAAGAGCCAATGAAACTGAAGTAAGAAGTCCAAGGTGCACTGAAGTCACTAGCAAAGAACAAGGCTCTGGAAATTGATGGAATATAAATTGAAATCTTGAGACACTCATTTATGTCAAGAATTTGGAAG